TTTCTGGATTTTTTCCCTCATTTTGTCTCTCATAATTTAGGTATACCTATGATGAGGATTACAGACCTCTCTCATCTTTTTAAGTGGGAGAACTTGCACAATTGGTGGCTGCCTAAATACTTTTTTGCCTCACTGTATTCAGAGACACTATAGTAGCTGCTAACGGCTACCAGATTTGGTTTCAAAAATTGGGATGACCACTAGAGGGCAGAAAAGTGATGCAGAAAACTTTAATCCTTTGTTGCCCTCTAGTGGCCATCTGGATTCTTGAAGCCCAGATCTGGTAACCCTGTTTGCCAAGCCTCATCTGCCTTTTGTATCTAAAAAAATAAGAATAGATCTTTTAATTTAAAAAGGGAGACATTGAAATAGTGCAGAAAGCATTTGCCCTGAGCATCCATCATCTTTATTTCTAAAAAAGCACGGGGACCAAACAGGCTTCAAACACTATTTTAGGAATAAAAATAATGGGTAGCTTCAGCCCATTTACTCAGAAAAAGGGACAGAAAGAGGCAGTGGTAGTAGGGAATGTCCTTTGTGTGTGGGGAGGTAAATGGGGTGGCCTAGTAGGTGCTTTGCAACTGAGTACATATGTATGTATATATTTATGGATAAAGCTCGCAGCAGTCAGTTGCAGAAGTGCCCATGACATGTTGTTGAGATGTAAAATGTATGTGCTGCCTGGAACAAGTTGGGGACCCCTATCCTATAGTGTGGCTAGCTGGTACATTGTATGATACTATGGTTTTTAAACAGGTTTTATTAAATAAACCACATTTGAGTTCACGTACCATGCTAAGACAAAAAACAAAGATAACACATCACACATGGCTTAGTGTGATGTGTGAATCTGAATCTATAACAGCTTTGGTTCATGACATTGATGCACATAGAGATGCTAAACACATTCTTTGATGTAGAAAAGCAGAACAAGGAAATGGGATGCATTATGTGAATTATCTATTGAGAATATAAGTCCTTGATCTTTTATCTGACAAAAGGTGCCTTCCTTCCCTTCACAGAGTTTTCCTCTGTGTTAGAAGAGTAACCTTTACTTTTTCTGTACCTGTTTCAGTAGCTATCTTTGCTTTATGGTGGGAGGTAGTGATGGAATGTTAAATGCAAGCACTCTGGAAGACCCAGCTGGTAGGAGATGATCATAGCTTGCTTCTTTGAATGTACAGTTATTTTACTTTATGGGCAGAAGGAAACCATGACACCAGCAAATACACCACTAATGATCTCGTCAGACTGGCACCACTGAGGAATATATTTTAAGTGTTAAGTGTTTGGGTTTTGCCACTGTTGCATCTTCATATTGTATCCTGGCTGCAAAAGTGCTGGGAATTATTTTGTTGGATGTTGACTTCACCTGCTTTAAGAACCTTGGATTGCAAAATATGGATTGAAAACATGCTTCACAAAGGATGAAGCAGTATATAACATTGAAAGGGCAATAATTACAGACCATTTTAAAAATGTTTTCAAAATAGCAATAGCTAAGGCATAGTCTTAGAAGGCCTAAGACCTGGATTGCACCTATCACGTTTTAAGAGCAAGCCACAAACATTTTAAGCATTAGCAAGCATAAATATTTTATATGAGGTTATGATGGTGCCATTGATGCCTGATAATTAGAGTAATGGAACCCTTTCCCTCTTTCCATATATAGCAAGAAAAAGACAGTGACAGTATATTTCAGTAGTTGCTTGCAAGGGGAAACTGTTTGCCAGGTTTAAATTGATAAATGTATTCAGTGAACTTCAAGTTACTACACTGAGTTTCTTGAATGGAGTCTTCTACAGTATTCTCTGCTTCAGTCTGCTAAAACAGCTGGGCTCGTGCATTGATTGAATGGACCTCATTCCTCGCCAAAGGCTGTCTTCAATAATGGTAACCAGAAATGGATTGAGCTTATATTAATTTCATAGTACATATAGCCTCTTGTAGCATCTTCCTGTGGTTGGGCTTGCTTTCACCTCAGTGATGGCTGGATGATGTTAGAAGATGCTCTTAAGTCACAAGCAGGGCTCTGGCTATATAAATATGATATACAAATAAGTCAACAGAGGCAAAAGAAGCAGTCCAAGTGTTCTTGGGTTTGTCTTCAGAAGGCTTGAATTTCAAATTCTAAAAAATTACTAATTTTTTTCTCATCCAAATTTGGCTAATTTTTGCAAGAAAAATCCCAATCTCTACATACAGATGTATATGCATGATGATCTTTCTATATGCAAGGACCCTGCAAAGAAATAAATAAATTACCGATGTGGATGGAGGCTTTCCAGATCTGATTCTTTTGTGTATAAGCACCTTTTAAAGAATATTTCTTAAATAAAAAGGAAGATGTGGAAATTTGGTTATAGATAAGTCCAGTTGCCTTCATACAAAGAGAAATGGCTGCAGTCAGTTCCGATATTAAACTTTTGGAGGAAATAGAACTGGAGAACGGCTTATATCCCCCTTAAAACATTTCCTTGCTGCAAGGAATCTCTTCAAAATTATTTGCTTGCTAACTTAGAGGCCGCGTGACCTTGGATCTTCCAATCTGCCTTGACCCTGTATTTGGCCAAACAAATCCTGCAGAGTGGAAAGTCAATCTCTTTAAGATGAAGACAGTGATGAAAAGTTAAAAGGGAGAGAAATAGAGGGGTGTGGGTTGTATACAATATGGAAACACGTACATACTAAAACAAGGGTTGGTGTACCCAACAGAAGCGATTTTATTTTTGCTCCGAAGATGCAGCTCACCGCTTGAAGTGAAGTGGAGGCCACGTGACACCATCCGGGCTGATGCCGCGAAAGCTGCAGGAAACAACAACAACAAAATGAGCCAATAGGACGGAACTTCACTTCCCGGAACGGAATATACGCTAATCTCCCAACCAGCCCTCGGTCTGCCTCCCTTCCCGATGCCGACGGCCGTAAAGCTCTCCCTAAATCGCGCCCTTCGCTTACGAGTGACCTCTGTTTTCCTCTCCGCTAATCTAGCAGCTTTAGTGTTTAATTTCTCACGGAGGGGACTTGACTTGCTGCTCGGCTTTTAGGCAGATTGAAAGCCATGACATCACCTCCTACCCTCCTCCATGCGAAGACATAAAGACGGGAGGTAGCTGCAGGGAAAAAGTGCCGCCGCCGCCGCCGCCGCCGCCGCCGCCGCCGGGGATGGTGGTGCTGATGTTG